CCTGGCAACAAAGGGTATGGGTGGAGGAACTGGGACCACGAATGGTACACTCCTATCAGGTAGAGAACATTGGATCCCTTCCAAGGCTCCAGAATGTGACTCTACGAATACATGTGCCTGTGCTCTTAAAGAGGCGTTCCCGAAAACCACGTCCGCTTGTGTACCTTTTTAAGGAAGTTCGTTCACCTTCCAATGACCACGGCGACCTGGACTGGCTCTACATTGGGCCCACAGTGCAGAGGATCGGCGGTAAAAATCGTACAGAGATCAAGTGTGAATATGAAGATATGGATTTACTCAACCCGTGGGGACTTATTCCAATCGACATGGATGGTGAGTTACTGATACTTATGTGATGTGATAGTGAACTAGATAACATGATTCCTACATAGGATTCTAACATATCTGTGACCTGGCAGTTGACAAAATCCTACATGGCATCTATTCCCGGTATGGGGAGAAGCCAGTGTTAATTAGGTTTTAATTACTCCCTGAAGCAAACGCTGAGTGGATTATAGAGATGTTACAAGATAAGGCTCTGATATTATTTAATTAGCATGCGGAAGGAGGGGCCTAATCATTCAACAACTTAGTGGTTTTTTGCAAACAGATGGGGATCGTTTATATTGAATGTTATACACCAAATCATTGTCCCTTTTATTTATTAAAGCAAGTAAATCCAAACATACGAAGATTTGGCATGCCCCAAAATTCAGCTAAATGGGAAGGAACTCCCCTGCAATAGTCAGAGAAGTTAGATGTCCATGGACGGCGCATTTGGCGCACCTAACTCTTTTATGAATGAATAACTCAAATACGTATTAGTAGCTATGAAATTGGCTCCAAAATACTTGCTTTTCAGAATTTTATGTTTATAGACGAGGGCTAAACTGTTAGGATTTGACTGACTTATTAAAATATGAAAAGGATATAAAACAGAACATCGAGAAACATACTTTCGCGGACTCGAGTGATTTATTTTTGCTCTCTATGGCTCATTCTAAGCTGTTTGTCTAGTGTGGCTTAAACGCTAGGTCTATCAAATTAGCAGTAAACACAGTCGGGAGGTAGATTCTTTCTCAAACATGCTGTCCTTACCCCATATATATGTGTCTAGTACTCCTCTGACAAACTTCTTAATTGACACAAGCCTTGAGTTTAGATTAAGGTGTCATCTATACTGCCTTTAACCAGTTTGTCACCATGAGAGGCCGTTTTCGCGTCATTCTTCAACGACCGGAACGTATGACGACGAGGTTCACCATATGCACCACAGCATGATGGCGCAGGGATAGTGACTTGTATGAAAATTACTTTTAAGTGAAAGTACGCTTGCGCTGTATCTACCGCAACCACACATCTCTCATCCACCTGTGCCCGGTATCAAGCTAGTCGCCGGAAGATTGGGTGCAAATGCTACACACAAAGTATTATATTCCGCTCTCTGCCCTGAACATACAGAGATCGGACG